AACACAAGAGCACACAATAGATACAAACTCAAAGTAAACCGCACCAAACTTGATTGCAGGAAATACGACTTCAGCAATAGAGTGGTCAATGTCTGGAATACTCTACCCGACTCTGTAGTTCCTTCCCCAAACCCCAAAAACTTTAACCTTAGACTGTCTACTATTGACCTCACCCCTTTCCTAAGAGGTCCGTAGGGGGCGTGCATAAGCGCACCAACGTGCCTACCGTCCCTGTCCTATTGTTTCTCCTATTCTTTTTTTTTTCTTATATGTAACCATTTCATGTATTCACAACTATGTATACATTTATACTTATTATCTTGTAAACAATTGGCAAATCAAATAAATAAATAAATAAAATAAATAAAATAAACCAAGCTGGGTCTCCTATAGTAACTGCATTTTAATATTTAATTTACTATTAATATACATTGAAGTTTAACACTAATTTATTGACATTAGGAGGCAAAGTGCTTCCATGCATCTTCAGAGCACCTGAAACACTTTTTCCTTTCCTGGGAAAAAGTGCAGTACAGCTACTTTAAAGTGTTGCAGATAGACACTACGTTCACATCCATGCTTCAAATGGCATTTTAATGATAAAATCTGAACTGCTGATAAACCTTAATGAATAACTGATATTGAAACTGGAAGAAAATGTCTTTATGTTCCGATGGGCTCTCTAAAGTAGTGTGATGACCCAGGGTGGGATACAAAAGCAACAAAGTCACAAAAACCAGTGATGTCCCTTTAATTCCTTCAACTTAGCTTCAAAGGTCCAATTATCATTGACTGGAGAAAAAACTCCCCCACAAATTGTTGAGAAAAGGAAGAACTTCCATTTAAACTCAAAATACATATAAATTATAAATAGACAAAAACAACACAAACCACACTGAAGCAATTAAGGAGACAAGGCAGGATAAGGGCTTGAAGACGTCCACGGATATCAAAATACACACACTGGGAAGGACGCCAGAACTCAATAAGGACTGAAAGCCTAGAAATATTTTCACGCTTTGTTTCCAGCACTGGCCCATGTGCAGTTTGTCCTTTTAAACAGTCCTCACAGCTGCAGCCCATGAAGGGGATCAGGACCCTTTCCTTGTCCGTAGACCATGCCATTCATGTTTCCCCCTTATCCGCTCCTTCCTGCATGCCCTAAGATAAAGAGGGATGGATCCGGGTCTTCCTCTGAATGCCCAACCGGCCTGTGCCCTTCCCCAGTTTCCTCCACAACCTCCGGAGCCACACTCCCACTCCCTGTCAGCTGTTCCTCTTCTCCTTCTGAGTCCGATTTGAACAGGGGCATGACAAGTAGTGTCAGAAATCCAATGAATCTGACAATTCATACAGGTAGTCCTCAACTTATAACAGTTCATTTAGTAATCATTCAGAGTTACAACAGCACTGAAAAAAGCGACTTATGACTGTTTTTCACACTTACAAACTTTGCAGTATCCCCATGGTCAAATTTCAGATGTTTGGCAACTGACTTATATTTATGAGCCACGGTTGCACAGTGGTTAGAGTGCAGTACTGCAGGCTACTTCTGCTGCCTGCCAGCTGCCTGCAATTTGGCAGTGCAAATCTCAACAGGCTCAAGGTTGACTCAGCCTTCCATCCTTCCAAGGTTGGTAAAATGAGGACCCAGATTGTTGGGGGCGATATGTTGACTCTGTAAACAGCTTAGAAAGGGCTGTAAAGCACTGTAAAGCAGTATATAAGTCCAAATGCTATAGCTATTTCTATTGCTATGACCGTTGCTGTGTCCCAAGGTCATGTGTTCTCCTTTTTGTGAATTTCAGACAAAGTCAATGAGGAAGCCTGGTTCACTTAACAACTGGGTTACTAACTCATCAGCTGCAGTGATTCACTTAACAACTGAGGCAAGAAATGGGGCAAAATTCACTTAACAAATGTCTTACTTAAGAACAGAAATTTTGGGCTCAATTGTGGTCATAAGTCAAGGATTATCTTTATACAATCTCAAAAGCTACTAAAGGATACGTCTCCCATTCTACAACATCTGACCCATTTCTCTGGCAAAAATCTGCTTTTATTTAGTTACTATATAAACTGTTCCGAGCTTTACCTGAAATCCCAAAATTCCTCTTGGTCAATTGTTAGGTTCTGGTGTCTTCTAGACCAGGTAGTCCCTCTGTTATTTATTATCCAAACATCATAGCCAGCATCTGCTAGAACAAATCCCAGGCTATTGCTGGGAAGATTGATGAGCCAACATCTCCCTTCCGACAGAAAACCAGGGACCAGTAACACAACAGGTTTAGGCCCTTGAAAATAAGCAACATTAAATATTATATCATTTAAGGATCACTCCAGCAAGGAGCGTTGTATTTTTATAAACATGGCACATCACAATTCTATATTTATGATATCTATGGAACCTGCAGCCTGAATATGAGCGAAGACTGAATGTACGAAGACTGAATGAAAAGTAATGTTTGCAATTTGATAAATTGCTAATAGATGGTAGTATAGTCTTGGCATGTTAGAAGCTCAGAGGAATTCTTTAGCACCTATTTTTTCACTTCAATTATTGGAAAGTTGCTATGAGAAAAGTTTGCATTGCCAGGGCTGTCTTAACTCATGGGCCTGATGGGCACTTGCCCGTGGGCCCCACACTAATCTGCTTGTGTGCACCTTCAGTGCACCTTGTATCATATAAATACAGCAACATATTTATGATATTTTACTGCATTTTTAAAATTAATAGTAACATGCAAATATATGTTTAATTTTATCGACCATTTACATTTTTATTCCTGTGAGTAGTTGTCATAGGGGCCCCAGTACACTGCTTTGCCCAGGACCCATAATGCTGTTAAGACAGCCCTGCATGTTGTATTGTTTATGAAATGGAAGCCATTGGGAAACTGAGCGGTACATGTTAAGCAGTGTGTCATGACTGAATTTTTAATTGCCAAAGGAGTCTGTTCAAATGAGATAAATACTTGAATGCAGGTTGTTTATGCTGACTATATTGACGGGAGCAATGTGCATGGATCAAAAAAAAAAAGCTAAGATGGTGAATAATGAACTTATTTGCAGCCAGAGCAAAGTGGACAACTTGTGACAGCAATGTTGAGGTAATTTGCCATTAGGAGAATGAGCGCATACAGGGAGACGTAGTGAGAGAAGTGTTTGAATAATACACAAATAGCACACCGATACACTGTACAGTAAATGTAGGTTTTTACTTTCAATAAATGTTTAAGCCAAGTCCACACACATAGTCCAAGTCAATTAACAGTTAAATCAGTCAGTGTTCAGTCCAGGGATAATTCCAATATCAAAGTCCAGTATCAAAAACAGTCCAGTAACGTATATACTCGAGTATAAGTCGACCCGAATATAAACCGAGGCACCTAATTTTACACAAAAAAACTGGGAAAACTTATTGACTCGAGTATAAGCCAAGGGTGGGAAATGCAGCAGCTACTGGTAAATTTCAAAAATAAAAATAATTAATTTGGGAAACGATCTCACTATCTCACGTCGCCTCGGGAAGGGAAAGGCGAAGCGCTTTTTGCCTTTCCCTTCCCGGCTGGGGCTCTTGGGAGTTGCCGCCGCCTGCCTTTCCCTTCCTGTCTGGGGCTGTTGGGAGTCGCCGCCGCCTGCCTTTCCCTTCCCGGCTGGGGCTGTTGGGAGTCGCCGCCGCCTGCCTTTCCCTTCCCGTCTGGGGCTGTTGGGAGTCGCCGCCGCCTGCCTTTCCCTTCCCGTCTGGGGCTGTTGGGAGTCGCTGCCGCCAGCGCGGCCCCAGTCCCGCCGCCTCGGGAAGGGAAAGGCAAAGCGCTTTTTGCCTTTCCCTTCCCGGCTGGGGCTGTTGGGAGTCGCTGCCGCCGGAGCGGCCCCAGTCCCGCGTCGCCTCGGGAAGGGAAAGGCCATGGCTTGGAAGGGCGCTGCTGGAGCGAAGCTGCGCACAGCCGCTGCGCTAGCATCGGATCGGGCATGCCGGACGGTTCCAACCGAGCCCCGAGCGTCGTCTTTGGTGCCCGCCCAGCGCCGCGGAGATCCCTGTACCGGGAGAAGGGGAAGACACCCCCCCGGGGCGGGGCAGGGAGAGGAGCTTCTCCCGCCCGCCCCTCTTTCCGCACCCACCGGTGTCCCCGCAGGACGACCCCCGCCCCGCAGTCGCCGCCGCTTGAAAGAGACGGGCCGGGGGTGGATAGAAAGGCGCCGGGCGCCCTTGGAGAAGGTCCCGCGTTCGCCTGTCTGCCCGTGGATGTCAGTGGAGCAGCCGCTGCTACGGGAACAGTTTACTGCCATCGCCCTCAAAAGGGGGGCAACCGGACAGGGAATCCGAGGGCAGCACTCGTTGCGTGCCGGAGGCGACAAGCCCCGCTCGGGTGGATGTGTTTGCCCAGAGACCCCGGACGAAGCAGCGGCAAAGCTCCGCTGACATCCGCGGGCAGACAGGCGAACGCGGGAAAACAATAAGCAGTCACCTTTAAATTAAAAGCAATGAAGTTGTATTGCATTCATGGCGTTCACTTATTTACATTTGATTTCTAATTTACTTCACAGAGACCAGACAGGAGGAGTCAAAGGGCTGAATGTGACCTGGGGTCCAGATCTGATTTAGTTTGGGGGGGGGGGCACTAGTCCCTGCAGTGTTCTTGACAAGGTTTTTGGACTTGGTTTGCCACTGCCCCCTTCTAAAGCTGAGAAAGGGTGATCAGCCTGAAGTAACCTAGCTGGTTTGCTGCCTTAGGCAGCACTAAAACAAACCATTTACCAATTTGTAGCCTGACACCTAAGCTACTACACCAAAACTGATTCTCATCTCATCTACATCATTTACATATCGTCAGGTACAATGAATCAGGACCATATGTTTTAGTTCTACTTAAGAAGATATATTGCCCAACCCTCTACAGAAAAATCTAGTCAATGTCCAATACTAAATTGGTGCCTGATAAGAATCAATGGAATTCAAGATGGGTTGGACTTAGTAGCTACCTATGGTTGTGAAAGTTGGACCTTAAAAAAGCAAGACAAGAAGAAAATCAAATCATTTTAGCAGTGGTGCTGGTGGAGAAGACTACTGCATATTCCTTGGACATCAAATATAACTAACAAGCATGTACTGGAGTGTGTAACACCAGAAAGGTCACTAAAAGGCAAAATCACAAAACTGTATCTCACTTACTTTGTCATGTGTGGGAAGAATTCATCGGAGAAAGCAATTATGTTTGGAATAGCAATAAAAGGAAATTAGGCCGCCAAAAAACACAGTGGCTGGACACCATCAAAGCTGACACTAGCCAGAGCATAGGAAAAGTTAAAGAAGTAGTGCAGGAACGGAAGATGTGGAAAGCCCTGGCCCATAGGACTGCCAAGAGTCGGGCACAACTGAATGGATAACATAATCAATATTATCAATACAAATTCTGCCCATTGGCTGCTACCTAGTAATTGATGTAAAAAGAAAAAGGGATTGCATTATGACTTTATAATGCCACTGGCATTAATTTGACCTCCCTTTTCTCCTTTCAATGTAGATGAAAGCAGGGGAGGGATTCAAATTTTTTAACAACCAGTTCTGTGGGTGTGGCTTAGTTGGTGGGCGTGACTTGGTGGTCATGTGACTGGGTGGACATGGCTTGGTGGTCATGTTATTGGTTGGGTGTGGCCAACTCAATATCACTCACATTGAGGCACGCATCTCCTCGTCTTGCCTTTCATGACTGTGGGGATGCTGCAACAGTCGGAAGTGAAAAATGGTCATAAGTCACTTTTTTCAGTGCCATTGTAACTTTGAATGGTCACTCCACACAAGCAAAGTACCAGCAAAGGAGGGGGAAAAAATTCCAGAAAAGTTCCTGAGACAGGAAGACTAGTCCTGCCAAGAATGTAATAAGGGTTAACAGAGAGGCAGTTTCTATAAGGAACACCAGAATGTTTCCTTCCTGCCTTCCTTACAGGATTAGGCCAGTAATTTCTTCTAACAGCCGGTTTTCCAAACTGCTTAGAATGTTAACAACTGGTTCTAGCGAATAGGTACAAACTGGTAGAATCCCACCCCGGGATGATAGGATAACCTTTCATTTTAATAATATAATTATAATGTGATAACATTACATATCTGATATTAATACAATTGAGAAAGTCCAGAAATATTTTACAAGAAGAGTTCTCCACACCTCTACTCATAGCAGAATACCTTATGCCACCAGACTTGAAATTTTCGACCTAGACAACCTATACTACGCCGCCTTCGGTTCGATCTAAGTATGGTATATAAAATCATACATTGCAATGACATACCTGTCAATGAATACTTCAGTTTCAACCATAACAACACAAGAGCAAACAATAGATATAAACTCAATGTTAACTGCACCAAACTTGATTGTAGGAAATACGACTTCACCAACAGAGTGGTCAATGTCTGGAATACTCTACCTGACTCTGTGGTTTCTTCTCCAAACCCCAAAAACTTTAAGCTTAGACTGTCTACTATTGACCTCACCCCTTTCCTAAGAGGTCTGTAGGGGGCGTGCATAAGCGCACCAACGTGCCTACTGTCCCTGTCCTATTGTTTCTTTTATTTTTCTTATGTGTATCCAATTTCATGTATTCATAACTATGTATATACTTATACCTGTTATCTAATAATTGCTTGACAAAATAAATAAATAAAATAAAATAAATAAACCTCAATTTAGCCCACTGAAAATAGTCCCAGTTTAAACATTTGTGTTTATTCCAGTGTAAATAAACGGTTGAAAGCCAGCCACAGAGCATTTGATCAGAAAAACTCAGAGTTTGTTCTCAAATTGACTGGGAAGAAGAAATTGAAATTGTTATAAAACTCTCTGCGATTAATGACAGATTAAGTCTGAATAGAAGGACACCAGATTAAAGATACCATAATAAGTCTTAATTAGAGGACATCAGAATGGGGGTAAAAAACCTGACCTTGTCCACACTAGTCTTCTCTTTCTCTTTTTTTTTCTTGTCATTTCATGACATTGAAAATGTTTTTCTCTCATCTCCTGACTTGAATTGAAACTGTGAATCTAGCAGGCATTTGCCTTAGAAATGTCACCATATTAATAATTCATCTCCAAAATACCTGTTTTTTCACCGCTGTGTATTCCATTAGGAATTCTGTTTGCTTTGAGATAATAGCCATCACTTGTCATGATTTCATACTCTTCACTAGGGTATCCCCAGTATTGAATTATTTCACTCTGCAAAAAAATAAATCAACAACACCTTGAAAAAGCTTAATAGTGAGTGTTCAGGAGCATTACTACTCTAACCATTCATAAGATGACAAATATTTTTTTTTTAAATAACTGCTCACAATCTAAATCTTTTCTGTTTTTTTACTAGATGAAGCTGCTCCTTTTTGCCTGCTCCATTCTTTCCCACTACGTATATGGGAATAGGGAGTTATAATCTAATGTTTTTCAAACTTGGCAACTTGTAGGTGTATGAATCTTCCCCTGGCTGGGGAATTCTGGAAGCTGAAGTCCACATATCTTAAATACTGGTATAATTTTTCCCTTTGTGCACAGTGGGATGTCCCTGAACTAGAAGTTAACGTCAAGCCAGCTACATACAGTATTTCCTTATACTCTAAAGTAGTTATGCCCTGCCTATTCAAACAGAATGTGTTTGGCTAGACAGGGCAGAGAATTCTGTTTTCACAGAATTGTGAAAGAAACACAATTTGCAGTGGGTGTTTCAGTAATATTGCCATAATGATGACATGCATTTTTAACATGGTCGGTATGAGTTATTTAATCAAGCAGCATGGTGACCTAGGGGAGAAGACAAACACTTTCCCACTCAGAAGGTTCAGCGGTAGTAGCAGATGTTTAGAAAAAATATCTGCTGTGAACTCCATGTGGCATCAAGAAGAGCATCCAGACAATAAACTCTCAGGTCCATCCAGTCGTCCTGACTCTACCCTGAGTTAACAGGCTGCATACATACGGTGATGAGATTATAATATGCTAGTTAGCTACGATTAAATGGTTTTCAAAAACAATAATATATTAGATGCAAAGTATCATTAGATGCAAAGTATCAAGATGTATGCATCTTACAAAAGAGCCAGTTTGGTGTAGTGTTTAAGGTGTATGAGGGCCTTAAAAAGGAGGGGTGGGGGGTTGTGTGAGTTACTCAATTAATCTGGAAATGAAAGTTGAATAATTTCAAAACTGTCTCCCAGGATAACCAAAAAAGTCAGGAACTTCAGTCAATTAAACCCTTTTTCTTGAGAATCTGTCTGAATAAAACATGAGGATCTTTCCCCTTTTACCACCACCTAGATGAGCAATTTACAATGTTCATCAAAAGTTCAGGATTCAAATGTCTTCCATTGATAGATTTTTCTGAGATCACTGCTTGTTGGATTATCACCACCCAAACCAGCCACATTGTGGGTCTGCAAAGCAAAAACAAACAGATCAGCTTTTGACAGTATAAGCCCTCTAACTAATCAACTAATAGAACAGAAAAATCAAACTACCGTCTTAATTGATCTTCCCACAAAGAAACCATCATAGGGCTTATAAAATCTGTTAGAAGGAAAACCCATCTGGTTCAGTTCCATGCTGGGAGAAAGGCCCTGGAAACAACATAGATGTTGGAGGCTGATTGGAAAGAAGGTCCATTTATTGATGAACAAAACCACCAGGGTTTATGGCACAGCTGACCAAATGAGTGGATGGATCTTTATAGTTTCTGTGACTTTGACGTTTGGACTGTTCTGGGGGTGGTGCAATGAAGGGGCTTGTGTTCCGAAAGGGTGTTGGGCAATTCCTATTGTGGCTAATGGCTTTTGTCCTGTGTTGGATCTTGGGTGAGGGTCTGCTTTCTAATCCAACTGTTCTGCCTTTGTTAGCTGTCAAATTTTGCTGTAAGGAGTTTCAAAATATCCTGTCCTAAATGGGCTTCTGCTGGCAGTATTTGCTTTGCTTACGAATAGAGCCATGTAGATAGTTGGCTTCCTCTTTCAATAAACTCTTTATGTCTTAAGTGCTGGCCTCTGCTGTGGGCTATTAAGAAAGAGGCTGCTCTCTGCCTCTAAAACACATTTCTCCATTTCTCCTTTAGGGAAATATAATATTCTACCTTTTTAAATATTCCCATAAATAATTCATTCTCACATGTCTGTGATCAAAACCAGCAAATTAAGATTGCAATGCTGTTTGTTTATTGTATCTTATTGAGATAAGACATGCATAACAGCTTTTTAAGGACCAATAGCAGAGAAGTGTTCTTCATTGTCACAGGGAGCCAAATACAATGAATAATGTAAATAAATTCCAATCAAGAAAGTAGATCTGAATTGAAGTATTAATTGGGACTGAAAAGCTGATCAGGTGACTGTGATAGGCTTACAACCTTGTTTTGCCTTGGGTCATTAAGCAAATCACTATGGTTTTAAAGCAAGACATCATGTGAGTATAATGTACAATTTTACTTCTGCACTGTCTATTAACTCTACTTGTCATGATTCATAAGCTAGTTATGAGGCACCTGAATGATTGACTCCTGGTCATGGAACAGCTGCAATGCCACTGTGATACTCATAGACTCTAAAAGGATTGGTTGCAAAGCTATTTTCTTTTTACAGTTTTAATTGCTAAACAAAGTAATAGGTAAGTAAGGACTACTTGTCTGCTAATTGAATGTTAGGTTTCTGGGCTAATCCTACTGTCATAGCAAAATAATCCAATAAAATGAAAAAGAATCCTAATAGGTTTCGTTACTCTAAAGCACGGGTGTCAAACTCGATCATCTCACATGACGTAGCGTGACTTTTTTTGCCTTTGTAGAGCGGGGGTGGACTTGGCCTGCACATGATGCATCAAACTTGTGGGCCGCCAATTTGACAGACCTGCGAAAGCTTAGAGATTACAAGTCACTGCTCTCTTTCAATCAGAAGTGCCAGGACTTAGAGTTGTAAGTTTACATAGATCTTACATAATACTGTTCTATTTATTGTAGATAATATATTGATTGCAGATACTTTGACTATGTGCACATACTAGCAGCAGATTCCCAATACAGAATCAATTGCTTTAGAAGTGATTTCTCTCAGCCTCTCATTTCACAGGTTGCTGTTGTGTGGAAAATAGGAAAAGGAAAGAGTATTAGGCAAATATGCCACCTTGAGGTATAAGGTATATGAAAAAGTGGGGGGAGGGGGAGGGAGAGGGGGAGAGAGAGAGAACGAGAAAAAAAGAGAGAAATTCATACCAACCCCCCCCCCCCCCGATGAATCTGATGTATTCTTTTTCTGACACATAAGTAATAATTACTTATACTGTCCAACTAAGAACATTTACAATTATGCACTCCATAACTGTAAATATGCCCAATATATTTACTTGGGAAACTTTAAGGATCTGAATTCAGAAGAAGTAATAAAAGATCTGAATTCAGAAGAAGTAATAAAATAATATGTGTGATATAATAAAATGATAAAGTCCAAGTTCTTCCCAGCCCCTTTTCACTTTTTCACCACCACTCACACCTGTAATTAAAATTAAAAAGGAATAAAGATCAGCCCCAGGCAACTGCATAAATGCCTCACCAACACAAGAACAACCGTCCTTTTCTTAGGGTTGTGCTACTGTCTAATGAGAAAAATGCTTCTAATATCGACACAACACATACCCACCCTTCTCGCCCAAATAAGGTGTACTTGGGAGCCACCCGGAATTGTCTGAAAGATGGGGGGGGGATATATAAGTGTTTTAAATTGAGGTGTCAAATTCGCGGTGTTATGGCAGCATCACATGATGTATCGTGACTTCTCCCCCCCACCCCCTTTGCTAAACTGGGCATGGATGTGGCCAGTGCGTGATGCATCTGGTCTGCTGGCCGTGAGTTTGACAGTCCTGTTTTAAACAAACAAATAAAATAGACCACCATTTCCTACTGTGGGAAAAGCCTCTTTAGTCCTAAAACAATGGAAAGTCCTCACCTGCCGGCCAAAATTTAGACTCTGAATATAGCTAAATTTTGTAACACAGCCTGTAAAATTAGGCAGACTTTTGACAATCCAGGGATGAACCCAACATGAAATGTAACATTTCATCTTTTGTTTTTATTTTTAATGTTTTGTTTTCAAATCTGGTAGGTGACTGATAACAATATTCATTCATTAAAGTTCATTTAAAGGACATCCTTACAAGGAAACAAGGTGACAGGGTGAGAAATTACCAACATTTCATTGTCCACAAGCAGGTGGAATAGCTCAACATTTCGTCCTTATTAAAGCAGAATCTTCCATACTGCTTTTGCTTTACAATAGAGAAATATTTTTTCCATTATCTGCAACACGTTCCACTTCCCTAAATCTTGTTAATGAATCAAATTCCTCAGATTTCCTACCTCTCAACATCAAAGTTTGTAAATTTACAATTTTCCTTTCTGTTGTTCAGAATGCCTTTCCTTGTAAAGCAGGTATCGAATGATGTGACAATTTCATCTCAGTGTTATGCTCCTTCTTTTGGTGAATTTCTACCACGTATATAAGTGATATTGAAGCCTTAGCACCATGTAATATTTTTTAAACAAAAACTAATGGTAACTGATCACAATTTAACACATCACATCTTCATTTTGAAATTGGCCTGGAGGGCTTGAAAATTGTTGTTAGAATAATTAAAAATTTATGGGATAGTCACTGCAAATGCCCCCTATCTCTCTATGCCCATATTTATATAATGTATTTAAGATAAAGAATTTCAAGCAGGAACTAGAAATGTTATTATTTAGCTATGACAGCTGTTACAGGTAGGATGTTACCATTTTCATCAATAGTATTGCAATATTTTTAAGAAGACACAATACGACCAAGATGGGTATTCAGGTCTTTAGATTTCAGTTGTTTTACTTGAAAAATTCAAACAATATTTTTACTTATAATGTTCTTTCAATTAAAGGATTACATTTCAGGGAATTAATGGTGGGATTCTTTTTCTGAAAAACTAATAAGCATCTAAAATAGTATTGCAAGATAAAAATATTGTCCAGACAAATTAAGGACAAACATTAAAGAATATACTTTAACTTACCTAGTTATGCTGTCTAGAAGAACTTGATACTGAAACAGATCCTGCACAAAGCTTGCATTAGAATATAATTCGAATAAATATATATGTAAAATAGATAGATCATAATTACATGGTACATAAAGAAAAAGGTCTTTATACGCCCAACCATGATTTTTATTACCTGCATTGCAGCTTCATTGGTCCACAGATTGATTAATGTTTAGGACATAATTTCTTAGTTGCTCTTTCAATATGATCTTTGTCAACAATGTATTCCACCAGACAATTTTAAAGAACAAGATCAAGAGGCAGAACTAACATGTGAGTCTGATGAAAACATGGTCAGGGAATACTTTTGAACGAGTTTGAATTTCTAGGTCAGACAAATTGGTGTACCACTGGTCTGACCAAATCTTTATGTATTTATGTAATACAGAGGTCTCCAAACTTGGCAACTTTAAGACTGTGGAGTTCAATTTCCAGAATTCTCCAGCCAGCGTAGCATATGGTAAAAATTGGAAGGAAAAGAGAAGAAAACAATCAACAGCCAGATGAATCAACTCAGAGTGCTGATGAGGGCACCTTGGAAGACTTGAAAGACAGATTGTTATGGAAAAAGAATAATTTTGCATGGTCACTTTGTGACACATAAAAGATAATCTGATTGCAATGGCACTTAATTGATCAAAGGCAGGTTTCATTGTCCTTTTTCCATTCCCACTATTTCATTCAACTAGTCCTTGAGACCCAGTAAGTGGTTAAGGTACTGCCCTCGAAACCAGAAACAACTAGTAAACCAATGAAGGCCTTAGGCGTGGAAATCAGACTTTGGATCAGTTGGCCGACTCTCAGGGGAATTCACTTCATAGGATTCCTGTAGGAAAAAGAAGAGGAAAAAGGAGCATTAGGTATGTTTGCTATCTTGAATTACATAGAAAGTAATAAAGGTGGGATAAAAAAAATCTAATAAATAAACAATCAATCAATTTAGAAAGTCTAGAGCAGGGGTGTCAAACTCACATTGTCCCTTCGTTAAACTGAGCGTGGGCATGGCCAGCATGTGATGCATCCAGCCCATGGGTGGGAGTTTGACAGCCCTGGCCTAGAAAAGGGGTAAAAGGAGGATTTGAGAAAATACAGGTGAATCACTCTGATACCGACCTACTGAGAAATAAAATAGTAGATGGGATATTCTGAAATCACCCAACAATGTGGCTATTATGGTACCAAAACCACAATTATAGGTGGAAGGATACCTTAATGATACGTTATTAGTATATTATCAGAATTAATGGTACTTATCAAAAAGATCTTGAAATACCAATTGATTGCAAATGGAATATACTATTAATGATGTGGCTCTTAAAAGTTAAAAAAAGGCTTTATTAACATAAGTATGGTTTTCAAATTATACAAGCTAATTGTTTCACTTTATTCCATATTGGTCAGTAATGTGCCCAGTTTGATGACCATATTTTAAAGGAGGATTTTTAGAAACTAGATTAGAACATTCTAGTACTAAGCAGGGGATTGAATTCAATGGCCTAAATTGTCATGGGCCAGGACTCAGACAATGATTTTTAACTTTGAAGAGGCTCCAGCAGAACCTGTGGCCTCTGAGACATAAAGCCAAGAATACCATGAGACTGATTAAAACCAGGCACTATAATATTTTAATCCAATTTAATTAAGTATCTTGTTCCGGCTTCTTCCTTTCCTGGTTTGAAGCCCCGTTTAGCTGTCAAAATTATTTTTCTTTTTCTTTTCCTTCCCTTTGTATTTCCGCCGCTTTCTTTTCTAAAAATTCATTGTTACATTAATCCCAGGGTACCTTTTATTTAGTTGTTGTGCCCAATCGTCCTGGCTCACATGCTATCCACCTCTTTCTTCACTCCTGCACAAACTTAGTCCAACTGAGTCCTCCTCTTCAGGGTGGCCATTTTAGACCACCACTTCAGTCATCTTCAGGGGGGAAAATTGCCAAGCCCAGGTGGGGGAGATGCGGCTCCCCTCAACCTGGCTGGCAGCTTCCCCTTTCTCCACTGTCCCTCCGAGGCAGCTTCAGCCCCTAATCATAATGATTGGGGCTCTCTGACGAAAGAGCATGGGCCATAGTCATGGACGATCGCGATTTACGGTTTGTCAGCAAGGAGGGCTCAACCTGGAAACCCCATCCATTATTCCTTGTCTGGCCTTCAGGTGCTTTGGAAAGCTTGACCCTCTCCTCTCTGTGGCAGCCTTTCAAATATTGGAAGACTGTTATCATGTCTCCCCATGGTCCTTCTTTTCACTAGATTAGCCATGCCCAGTTCCTGCAACCATTCATCATATATTTTAGCCTCCAGTCCCCTAATCATCTTGGTTGCTCTTCTCTGCACTTCTTCTGGAGCAGGGGTGGGCAAACTACGGCCCGCGGGCCACATCCGGCCCGTTGGTCTGTCCAATCCGGCCCGCCCCTGAAAAAAAATAGCTGGGCGTGGCATATTGCCCTGCGCCGCGTGGCCCCCAAAGCTGCAAATCAGTGCGGAGCGCTCTCGGGGTAGGAAAGAAAAGAAGAACTTTGCAAAGGCCTCAGCTGGGAGTTCGAAATCACCTTCTCTGAAGGTGAGTCCCCGCCGATCCCCCTTTTTTTCCCGGGGTTTCCAGGCTTAAACTTTGCAAAGGCAAAGTTTGCAGGCGGGAGCGTCTTCCGGCCGAGGAGCGGGAAGGGTTCTGCCCGGCGGGTGGGCGGGCTGCTTGGAGCGGGCTGCTTGGAGCCACCTAAAGCTAGGCCGCTGCTGGTGGAGCCTTGCCCTGCCTTGGTGCCCCGTTTCCCGGCTCGGCGGTCCTGCTCGGGCGGCACTTTAAAAGCCTGCTCCCAGCACCCGAGCAACTTCCCAGCAACTTTCGGCTTCCTTTTAACTCGCGGGCGCTCGCGCCTGGCCCCGAGCCGCGCGGTGGAGGGGAAGCCTGGAGCGCCACCGGGTCGCCTCCTCCAAGCAGCCCGCCCACCGGGCTTCCCCTCCGCTGTGCAGCTCGGGGCCAGGCGCGAGCACCCGTGAGGAAAAAGGAAGCCGAAAGTTGCTGGGAAGTTGCTCGGGTTTCCGGGGCTTCCAGGCTTAAACTTTGCACAGGCAAAGTTTGCAGGCGGGAGCGTCTTCCCGCCGAGGAGAGGGAAGGGTTCCGCCCGGTGGGCGGGCGGGCTGCTTGGAGGAGGCGACCCGGTGGTGCTCCGGCAGCAGCAACAGGCAGTTCCGCCTGGGCTCCGCTCAGGTGTCCGGCTGGGGCTGTCAGGAGTTGCTACCACCGGCGCAGCTCCGCGCGGCTCCAGTCCCGCGTTGCCTTGGGAAGGAAAAGGCAAAACCAGGAGCCGCTGAGCCTGAGCCTCCGGTGCAGCTGCTGCCGTTGCAAAGCACCGCCGCGGCTCTTCCTTTTTGCCTTTCCCTTCCCGAGGCAACGCGGGACTGGAGCCGCGCAGAGCCACGCCGGCGTTAGCAACTCCTGACTCAGGGGGCCTCCGAGGGGAGGGGAAGGAGGAGAAGAGGTGGGGAAAGGGGGGGGCGATTCCCAAAAATCTTGTGCTGACCCGGCCCGTCTGTCAAATTTTAAAAGTCAATGCGGCCCCCGAGCCAAAAAGTTTGCCCACCCCTGTTCTAGAGTCTCAATGTCTTTTTTTTATAGTGTGATGACCAAAACTGGATGCAGTATTCTAGTTGTGGTCTTACTAAAGCTTTGTAGAGTAGTATTAGTACTTCACTTGATCTTAATTGTATCCCTCATTAATGCAATTTAGGATTGCATTGGCTTTTTTTGGTTGCCGCTGTAGACTTTGTTTCTTTCAAGTTTCTTTCCAGTCTCATTAACTCTTGGCTGACTGGAAGGAGACATTTTTGGTAATGGCCTTGCTGGAGAAAAACAAACAGCATAGAACAACTTGCATGTAAAGCTGCAAACATTACATGCCTAGCGAGTGCAAACAGTAGTAGTATCTCCCAAACTTTTCCAGAAAATGCCCAATTGCCAATCTCAAAAAGAAATTATGGGAAGTTGTCTCAATTTTAGGCACAATGCAATCTCTATATGAGCATGTATGGGCAATTAATTATTCAAGCACAAAGTCATCTAGTTGGGTTTATAATGTGCCTTTAATCCGGAAATACTGCTAGATGGGCCATATCATTATTAACAGAGTCATTTGCCAGACAATTTTGCTAAATTTAGTCAACAGATCTATGTCATGCATTCTGACCCTGTGATAATTTAGTCAGCGAATAGCCATATTCGAAAATAGAAATAAGGATGCTCTTAGTAACTGAATATGTACATTCTTTCCAGCTAATCTCTCAAAATCTGACCTGGATTGAAGCAATACTTATTGACTAATTTCAGGAAGGACTGGCAGATCAAGTTCTAGATGTGCTAGCAAGAATTGAATGCCCAAGCACAATGCAGGAATTAGTTCAGCTGTGTTTGCATTGGCATTGGATATTGACAACAGCAAAAAGTTAGAGCTCCAGCTAACAAGTCTATTGTCAAGACTGTAGCACCTCTGTCTATGTGGGTGATACCTGTTAGATATGGCGTAGATCGAAGAGGCAGAACAACAGGAAGAGGTAAAAAAGATTCCATTTATTCTGCTCCGTTTAAAAGACTGCCCTGCAGTGCCCCTGCTGTTCTTTTTACAGGTCGCTGTCCAAAACTTCAGCCACTGATGGCTGTTCATTTTCCTGCCACGAAAATGAACCAATGGGGAAAGTCTGACATCACTGACTTTCCTCATTGAATATTCAACAGTATCCTCACCTGATGAAACCTCCCTTTCACAAGACTCCCACTGGTGACTGACACCTGACCATCATAAGACCCTGACCTGATGGGTTACTCACCTGATGTGAACTCACCATCCCAAAACCTACTGATCACATGAAGCCCTTGTAAACAGGAGAAATGACATCCCCTAAACTCCACTCAACATGTTACCTAGCCTGGTAATGAAACATTTGGAAACTAATCAACAAGCTCGGAGAACAAATCTTCACCCTCACTTCTGCATATGTTCTGACCTAGGCTTCACAAAATAATG